GTATCAGGAAAAATTTGATAAACGTGCAGCGTACATGTGAAGTGTCGGGACAGAAGGAAGGTTGGAGACTGAGGGAGGGAGGGGGAGGAGGGGCAAAGAGAAGGAGGGTGTGTGTGTGTGTGTGTGTGTGTGTGTGCGTGCGCAAAGGGCTTGTTAGTTATTGATCCCATTTAATAATCCTTAACCACAGTCTTGTCCCCTGAGAGCACTTAACTCTCCCCCTCCCTCCCTCCCTCTCTCTGACTCTCACAACCCCTCTCCGCCTCCCTTTTTCCTCCCTGCTTGCTTCCTCTCCCTCTGCTGCTTCTTCATGCGTCTGTATCTCCTCCTCACTCCTTGTGCACCGCGGCTACACTCTGGAAGCACCTGCAAGGTCAAGGTGGTGTGAGGGCTAAAGACCATCACTAAATCCCAGCAGTAAAAGGTGTAGTTGCGCGCTGGTGCATTTGTTGCTATGGAGTCGATGCAGTCGTCTCTAAGAGGCCGGAGCTCGATCAGAGCACAGCGGGGCCAGAGACAGGCGGTAAAGGCAACACGGGTCCATTGTGAATTGAGCTCCTCATGTTCAGGCTGTTTCTGTTACTGTCTTTGTTTTTCCAACAAGAATGGTTGAAACTTTCATCTGCACGATTTTCAGCTGAGGTGTTGCCTTTGTAATGTTGATGAGTTTGATTCTGTTGGTCACATAATAATAATAATAATAATAATAATAATAATAACATCATGGGCTCTTAAAGGGGCAGTCCACTAATTTTACACATACAAGTTCTGTTTCTTCGTCATGAGAAATACTACTCAACTAGGAATAAAAAAATCACAGGACGTCTCGGAGCAGCCGGGAGCTCAGCTGTCTTTTTTCTCTGACAACTTAAGATCCAGACGTCTGAGGACTACGATCCTTCATCCGCTTAAAAGGTGTAAAAGGTTTAACTTTAAAAATGTGGCTGAAAACTGGGGAAAAAAAGTTGCTTTTGACGCTTTGGACAAACAACCACAAAGCTGGTACATGCACAAAGAGGATGTGACGTCATTGACAGGCGACCGCATGAAGTACAACATTAAAATCATATATATATATACATATAATATATGTTTTTAGACGTTTTAATGTGGAAAAAAAGGTTAAATAACTGTTGATAAAGACATTATTGATGAGAGCACCAGTGCGCAGCTCAACAGGAAACACCAAACATATAGAGATTTCAGGGGGGAGCTATTTGCAGACATGAGCTTTTATCTAAAAACACCAGAACTGTATCTGCTCATCCCTGTTGACAAACACAGAGAGAGCAGCGACCACAGGAAGAGGCAGCAACAATAAATGCCGTCCTTATAATATTGATGGGGAGAGTCATAAGAGGGCTTAACCTTTGCTTTCTACAGGGCGTCACAGTATTGACTCACAGGACCGCGTCCATATTGCAGGGACACAAATGGTCACATAATGGTGAGATGAGCAAAACATTGATGTTAGCCATAAGCCAGAGCCATCTCCGTAACTAGCTCTGATCTCACTCGAGTGTTTATTGGACATTTTGAAGCCTTTTTCTTCAGGATCATTAAACCAGATGATCCTGAATCGTTAAGTCAGTCCTGATGAGGAGTGACCTCGACCTCCGTGAGCCGAGGCGACCAGAGATCCTCCGCAGCCGCGTAAACTCTGGTTGTGATGGCAATGTTTATACTGACGTTGTAACCTACACAAACACACACACACACACACACAGTCCTGGTGTCAGCACTTCATTTTTCATCCCATTTGAAATATCGCAGATAATTAATCCATAATGTTCGACCAAAGCGCGAGTGAATTATGAAAAGCACAAACACATGAAATGATGGATTAAAAGATGAATACGCATGAATACACAAATGAGGGCATGAATAAAAATGGTAAACAAATGAGGCGGAGGATGGAGCTGGCCGGGAGGAGCGAGAACAATCAGCCCAACAATCTCTGCGGGCTCCTTTTAGTCGTTTAGCTTTGTTTCCTCCTCTTCTCTAAACGAGCTCTTTTAATCTGTCACTCGCTCCCCCACGCTTTGTTCCCCTCTTTATTTGGATGGCAGAGCTCATTTCAGCTGGATGATCTGATCAATAATTACTATCCAAAAACACACACACACACACACACACACACACACACACACACACAGTCACTTATAAGCAGTACTCCCTTGGTAATTAATACACAGCTTCAGAAGAAACACAAAATTATAAAACACAGACATGTTGTTGTTCTTTCTGTTATGACCCAACACATGGACAACCTCCTCTCTCTCTCTCTCTCTCTCGCTCTCTCTCCCTTTCTCACACACACACACACACACACACACACGCCCACACACACATCATTTGTCATAGCTGTCACCCAGTTTGCATTGGCTTTGTTTTTGAGAGCCGGTTTGGAAATGTCAAGCTTTTTCAGATTTATTTTGCTCCTGCTGCACGTCAGAGAAATTAATAATCAGCCCATAAGTTCTGACCCACATCATCACTCACCTCTCTCTCTCTCTCACACGCACACACACACACACACACACACACACACACACACACTCTTTAATTTCTCATTATGCTTCACCGTATTTTTTCTTTTTGTGTGTTTGTTTTTGCGGGATTCTCCTTTTTTTTGTGAAACAAACACCGAGATGAAGCTTCATGCATGTGCTCGTGTATCAGACTATTGCAATGAATATATGAGAGACTCCGTGGAGCAGTCATTCATAAACTTTTCACTGCAGTGCTCATATCACACACACACAAGCTCACTCACACACACACACACACACACACACGTGTCAAATAAACAAAGTAGTTGGCATTTCCTAATTTCGAGGGTAATGTTAACTTCTCCACAGAACCTTTGTTTAGTTGATTTGTGGCAGTGCAAAAGCCTGTGTGAATGTGTGTGTGTGTGTGTGTGTGTGTGTGTGTGTGTGTGTGTGTGTGTGCGTGTGCGCTGCCTCCCTCTCGGGCTCCATGTGAAATAATAGTGTGCTCAGATCTTTGGATGGAGTGAACAATACTTAATAGGGCCATGATAATAAGTATTAAAATCACTGGACCTGAAAGAAAACGTGATGAGACTCTTAATTACAAGAGAGAGAGAGAGAGAGAGAGAGAGGGAGAGAGAGAGGGAGAGAGAGAGGGAACGCTGCTACAAGTAGAAATAAAATGAAAAGGGGAGGACTGAGACAAAAACTAGAAGAAAAAAACCCTGAATGGGTTTTAAAAACATCATGATGAAGGGTTGAAGGTGATGAGGGAGGGGAATAGATGGATTGGATGTGTGTGCGTGTTGTGGGCGTGTGTGTGTGTGTGTGCGCGTGCGTGTGTGTACTTGGAAACACAAAGAGAGATTGAGTTGGATCAGGAGAGGGGAAGATAGAAATACTTTGCACTCTAATTCTCCTCTCTCTAGCTGTGTTGTATTGAAAAGAGGTGGGGGGCAGGTCGTAATCATGCACACCCTGCTGTGGGTTTTGTACTCGCTGATCTCTCTGTCTCTACGTCGACTGCAGCATCTCTTACACACACACACACACACACACACACACACATGCACACACTCAGTGGTGTGAGCCTCTTATTCCAGGATCTTATGATTAGGCACCCCTTGAGTGATCGTCACCTCCTCCTCAATCTTTTTCATTGAATATCGGCACGTTTCGTCCCCCCACAACAAATGAGTTTGAAATGACACACGACCATCTGAACAACTTGATTTTGATTTCTAGATATCAACGTTATAAAATGATAAACAGTCACACACACACAGTCTTTTTCACGCCTCAGAGCTGTCGGCTTTATGTAGTTGCTGCAGGCTTTCGGGTTGTCTGTCCGTCCGTCCGTCCGTCCCTTTTCTCGTGAACACGATATCTCAGTAAGGCCTTCAGGGAACTTCGTCAACTTTGGCACAAACGTTCATCTAGACTCAAGGAAGAGCTGATTTTAATTTGGAGGTCAAAGGTCAAAGTCACTGTGACCATAACTCATAAATTCATACACTAATTATGACACAATTTAACTGAACTGTCTAACAGGGAAAAATGAAGTGATGACGTTTTGCATCCAAAGGTCAACTTCACTGTGACATCACAATGTTCTGCGAAAAATATTCTGGCTATTATTCCATGCTGTAACTTGGGAAGAAGAGATTGTGACCATATTTCCTGCAACTTGTCAATAAAGATGGACGTAGCCTCTGTGACGTCACGCAGCAAGAGTGGTTTTGAAGGTCAGAGTGAGCTGCTCTGCTGTCGCCATCTTGGCAGTACCTGATTCCACCGAAATCCCGGCTAATCCAAAAGTGTGCAAAGAGGTGGAGCCGAGACTCCGGCGCATGCATGGTTTGTGGCAATCATGCGCTCCCTCACCTGTCACTCAAAGCGGCACACCCTCAATTATACAGAGCTTTAATTTAAACAGGTGAGTTAGATAAAAATTCACCCCCGCACCGTCGTCATGAAGGAGGAAATTAGCTCTAGAGACCAAAACTATGGCCACGTCTATGGGGATTGACTCACTGTTGGAGCCAGACTCTAGTGGCCACCTGAAGAACTGCAGTTTGTGGCACTTCATTTTTCAGCCTTGGATGTTGCTGCATGATACAACAGCGAGGCAGTAATTCTAGTCTCCATTTGTATTTATATTTATTATGTAAAGTAATTGAAATGTCAAGGTTGTCCAAATCAAGGTCTCCACACTGGCCTTTTCAGTATCACACAGACTTCATTAGCAGATGGAGTGGACCCAGACAGTTTCTTTTTGCATATCTGCCAACATATATCTTTGATCGGCCAGTATCTGCTAATAATCCTGTCCCTCTCTCTCTCTACTGTAATTTATGTAATGACATTAAAGATGCATAAAGGGGGAAAAAAATGAATGGCTTTCTTTTTACTTGGTCTGTTTTAAAGGTCAGAAGCAAAACTGTGGCGCCCTAATTCATGATTATTTACGTACTGTGTTGAATTCTGTTCTCCAAACCCGTACAGGGTCCTGCTTCAGAGGGACTACAGTTTCCTGAGGGATATTAACATCTGGCACCCCTTTGTGACCATCGGGGTTTATTCCTCCACGCTCTCCGCTGCCATGAGCAACCTCATCGGAGCCTCGCGCATCCTCTACGCCCTGGCCAGGGACGACCTGTTCGGTAGGTAACACGACAGATACCTGCAGGGGAGAAGTGGGATATCTGGGAGAAACAGGCAGATGGACTGTATACATGCTAAATATTAGGAAGAAGTGACATGCTTTTCTCTTGACGACATTGATTTTAAAGTTCTGTGACCCATCTTAACTTTAGAGAGAGAGACAGGAAAAAGTCAAGGAGAGAGAGAGAGAGAGAGAGAGAGAGGGGATGACATGCAGCAAAGGGCCATGGGTCGGACTCAAACCCGTTGCTGCAGCGGTTAGGACTAAACCCATGTGGTACCAGCTGAGCCACTGAGGCGCCCCCTCTAACGCTTGTTCCTGAGTCAGTAAACACATGGAATCGCCATCATGGCTGACTGCGTAGCGAGCGCAAAGTTGGCACGACCCACAGACTCACCAGTGCCGTATTTATGGGAAATTGTCCAGGTTCACATCATGAGAAATACATTTAACTACCTGTCGGTACAGGAAGTTCTACATAGGAACTAAAGGTGTGATGACTGACTCTGATGTTTCTGACTTCCTGAAACTCACCAGCAAGAGCAGGTGATAATAATGAGGCTGAATGCGTCTCGTTGAACGTCTCGTTCGTGCTGCCGAGTGCAACGCCATGAGTGTGATGTAAAGTGTCGAGACTACAAAGACACGCTGAACCCTAACGGACGCCTGTGCTGAGCAACAAAAGTATTGATCACCGATCACTTTGCCTTTAAAGTTCAAACGCAAAGACGTCGTCGTCGTCTTTCCAATATCAAGTGAACGCAGCATTCGTGTGATTTCCATCTCGCCGTGTGAATCCACGCTGCCTGCTGCTTCGTCATTATTAATGACTGTGAGCAACTTCCTTACCCCATCCTCTGCTCCTTTGTTAAGTCTATTGCAAATTGATTTGGCCCGTTTCTGTCTCTCTCTGTGTGTGTGTGTGTGTGTGTGTGTGTGTGTGTGTGTGTGTGTGTCAGGGGAGATAAATGGCTGTATTAGTGCGAGTTCCTCTGTGGAGTGATCAGACGGAGCAGAGGCAGATGACACTAGTTCAGCTGCCTGTCACCAACAGCCAAAGGGTTAACTTCAATTAGATTAATCTGTTTAATTAAGAGTCAGTGACTGCGGAACCATAAACGTGTAATGCTCTTGTAGGGGGGGGGGGGGGGGGGGTTGGCCGTATGAACTCACTTTGTATGTGCATAAATGTGTGTGTGTGTGTGTGTGTGTGTGTGTGTGTGTGTGTGTGTGTTCTTCTTGTTGTCATTCATGCATGCTACTCACTGCTTAACCTTGCCACTGTCCTATGCAAACTGACTGATGGATGCATTAATTTTCCAACACACACACACACACACACACACACACTCACACACAAATACACACGTCCCACGTATCTTCCACTTCTTTTGTTTCTATAACTCGCTAATCTCCAGCTCCTTCACCTCTGTCCTGCCTTCCTCCTCCACCCTCTCCATCACTCACTCTTCTCCTCTCAGCCGCATTGATTTAACTTTAAAGTCTCACAGATTTAATTCCAATCCTTTATCTGCTGTGAAATTTAGTCATAAGCGCTGATTCCGCCTCCGCCACCCTTCACCTCCCTCCTCCTCCTCCTCACCTCCAGTCTCCCTACTTTTGAGTCTCTCTTCTTCTTTTTTTGTCTCATCTTCTTGTGTCTCTGTGACTGGCTCTGTTTTTCAGTCTTGTAACCTCGTCATCTTCGTCGTGAGATGAAATGTCATATATATATATATATGGAGGGAAAAGAACGGAGAGGCTGTATGTAAATAAATTGTCTTCCGGTATAATAGACAGCGCTATAAGGTATCAAATAAAGTGAAGGGTTACCTCGGTTTGTCGCGCTCTCTGTCTCGCCCACACATCGGCTGCGTTTTCTCTCTCACTCTCTCTCTCCAGACCAGACAGGCAGCTAATTACATACTTTTTGTTTAAATGTCAGTAACATTACAAGTCGCCATCGCTCGTTCGAAATCTGCTCTGATCTGTGAACGGTAACACCGTCGCCGCTCCGAGGTCTGTTGTCAGAACTTGTGCAGTCTGTAGAGATACAAATCATACTGGCCTCTGGGTCCTGGGTTCAGCTTTGATTGATTTTGACATGACACACGGATCTTAACACTACAAAACCCATGAGCCTCAGCTGCTGTATTTAATCTGTAAACAAAACACAGCAGGACAGTTGCTGAATTATCTCCCACCTGTTGTCCTAACCGTCCAATGAGGACGCAGCCCTGAATGAATTAAATGAATGCAAAGGTCAGGCTCAGGTGTCTCTCAGTTGAGCTGAAACCGATGTTTTTTATTTCACAAACAAGCTGTAAAGATGTTTATGAAAACTTCACCTGCTCCTTTTTGCATGAGTGCTTCAAGTTTGATCTTTTGCAGGTGTCTGAAGATTTTCACCTTTTTTTTCTCTTTCTTTAAGAGCACCTGCATTTGTTTGTTGACTCCATTCCAAGATTTACCCATGAAGCAGTGTCTTTGGATAAAGCTGTTCTGAACACCCACTCAGGGTTTTTATAATAAAACCCAGTCCTCACTTACCATTAAAAAAATATGGAATACAGGCAGTAAACAAGGTGCAAAATGCCTCGCCAAATGTCAGTGAGTAAAACGTGTTTGTCCAGCTTGAAATAACAGAAGTTTCTTTCAGGGTTTTATTTATTAGATTTTTCTCTGAGCGTTGAAACTTCAGACCATCATGACATCATTCAGTAAAGAGGAAACTTTGCACGCCAAGATCTGCTTTTCATTTGATAAGTGAACACATAAATGTTTGGTGGAGGCTTGTGGGAAGCAGAGTGTCAGAAATCATCAGGAATAGCAGTGAGGAGGAGGTGTGAGCTTGTGTAAGCATCGACAACAGGCGTCCTCTTTGAGTGACGATCGACAAGGAATGTCCTGCTGCCGTTTCACTTACTCCACACCTACATTTGTTGTCCAAAACGGTGCAGTATTTTCCAGTGCCAGGAGAAATGCCTGTTGACATTTAGTCTAGAAAAGTAGTGGAAGAATTTCTCCAGTTAACCAAAGGTTGGTCATTCATTGCATTCTTTCTTTGATTAAACCTTTCTGTCCACGTATGCATCCAGGATTTCACTGATGTGGGTTTTCTTGAAGGTCACTGCTGATATTTTTATTCGGACGCTGCAGCTGGAGAACACTCAGGGTTATTTTCATGCCAACAATTCCCTACAACTTGAAGGATTTGTTGTTTTCGCCAACATCTCTTTTCATCCCTATAGGTAAGGTGCTGTCTCCGGCTAAGAAGACGTCCCAAAGTGGTAACCCCTGGGTCTCTGTGCTCATCTCCTGGTTCCTTGTGCAGGTTAGTGGCGATAAACAAATGCAGGATGGTGGAGAAGATAGTCAAGAAAGACCATTTGATTTTGCCAGTTAAGGCTTCAGATCAAACAACAGTATTGGCAGAAGATTGAATTAGAGTTATTTTGATCTGATGTGGTGTAGAAGAAGAAAGAAAAGGGACAGAAAATGTAAGTATTTTTAATTAAAATGTCATCTGAGGAGAACAAGAACATAGAAATTACATTTTTTCTTCTGGGACTTATTGTGTCCCTTCAAATCGTCAAAATTTCAGCCCATTTTTCCGTGAAGCATTTTCTAGCTTCCTTTATTAAATTAAAATACCAAAATGAAAAAAAGTTTCATTCACTCATTTGTTGTGCGATCAATGGGTCCCAAAATATAGAGCTTCAAGAACACGGATACAACACTGGCCTTGGACTTCTTTTGACCATTTCAGTGAAATAGATCATTCAGGGATAGATTCCTGCTGATCTACGGGAATAATGAAGCTCAGCACAAAAGGATGGAAGAAACGCTTCAAACAAGCTGCTGCTATTCCTGGATGATAAATACAAGGTTGGCGAGGGAGTGGAACAAAATCGGCCCAAGCACCTGTTTGTATTGTGAAGTCTTGTCACTGGAACTTTCCTCAGGCGGGAAGATCAGAAAAGGCCTCCCGTGTAACTGGAGAGGATTCTTCCTTCAAACAGAACTGACGTCTCCGTTTCCTGTGACTCCTCCGTTTGCATCCGTTCAAACCTGTCATACTCTTCTTTCATTTTGTCCATTTGAATTGAACAAATACTGCTCGAAGTCATTCATTTTGTTGACTAATGCGTTTCAAAAGAAAGCTCTCCGGGACCGCTGAAGTCTCTGGGTTTAATGGTGTTCACTGAGTTTCCCAGAAAAGTAAGAATAATATAATATAACAGTTTAGTGTTTTTTTTTTTTTTGCTACCAGACAACTTACAAAAGGGAAAGGTTTGCATCTTTTCACCTCTCAGTTAATTACTTTCATTTTTTGTTCTTTTGGCCACGAGATTTAAAATTATACAGGTCAAAAGGAGAGTCGCACATAAGGACAGTATTGTGGAAGCGATGGGAAGTCAGTAGATGGTTGGGTTACTGTGTGTGTTAGCTCCAGCTAAAAGTCAAGCAGCTGCAGTTTAGTGAGTAATAAATATTGAGAATGGGATGAAATAGAGGCATGAGATTAGTGATACTAATAAAAACAAGACTGAATAACCCTTTGCACTGTCAGAGTTCAGGTTTAAGTCAAAACGACTCCCAAATTTCTGGAAAGTTGTTGCTAGGGATGGGTACGACTCGAGTGCTCGTTGTTGCCGTCATTATAACGTCATTATTCGAGTAGCGTTTCACTACTCGTGCACCTGCGCACGTGTTGTTTTTGGCTACTTTAGTTCAACAACAAGGTCGCGTTACGTGCACCACGGCGGCCGTGACTCGGGGAAAGTGATGTCGGGAAATGCGACGACAATAACGTGCAGTTCAAGATATGTGGCGTTAAACTTGCATATCACGTTCTCCGGCGGTCGAACAGTCGGCTTGTGCTCGTGTTTCCAGTCGGACACAGACGTCCCGTATTTTGTTGTTTTACGTAAAAGAAAAATAGATATAGATAAATATAATATAATATAATATAGCCCTGAACTGATTAGAATTTGGTGGTCAAAGGTCAAAGGTCAAGGTGACCCCAGCAAAACAAGCTCTTGACCATGACTCACAACTTCACACACCAATTACGACATAATTTAACACAAATTTCTAATAGGATAAAATGATGCGGTGATGATATTTCATATTCGACAGGTCAAAGGTCAACTTCACTGTGACGTCACAGTGTTATTGTGAGTTATTCAACGCTGCGACTTAGGAACAGAAGGGGAGGTTGTGGCCATATTTCCTGCAACATGGCCGAGAGGCAACAGTGCGCCTGTAGTGTTTTCTTCTCTTCTGTTGTGTCTGGTAAGTGGAGGAGAGAAGACGTCAATATTTTCTAAGCAGAAAGAAGTGGCAGGGGTGAGGTGGGTGAGGAGAGAGAGACAGAGAGGAGAGAGGAGGAGGATCTGAGGAGCAAATAGGCCTGACTATCCCATCATTATCAGAGGTGAGTGTTAAAGGCTGAATGGCTTGTCATTATTTGCACTCTTTTCTCCCTCTCTCTCGCTCTTTGTCCCTCTCTCGTCGTCTCCTCCTCATCCCTCTCCACTCTCCAGGAGTGGAGGAGGAGCAATTAGATGGAAATCGTTAGCTGCGCCGCCGCCGCCATCAGAGATTATTGACTCTCTCATCCTCTTTCTCTCTGCCTCTTCCTCTGCCATTTCAAATGACTCACTGATGACAAAAGTCTGATTGTAATCTCGCCTCGAACACTCACTCTGCAGGATGAAAAGGAAGGGGGGGGCGGGGGGGGCAAGGCTTTCTTTTATTGGACTTTTGAGTAAAGGGAAAATAGGCATGCTCCAAGAACAAGGAGAGGTGAAAAACAGAATAAGTTAAACAGATGTTTGAAGTGGATCGGCCTGGATACTGCAGGTGAGGTGAAGGTAAACAGCCCCGCACAAATTAAAGCGATAGAAAAGACAGACGTGGCATTGTGAGTACACAGTTATCTTCAGTCCCTCCAAGGATTTGCAATATTGCGATTCCAAGAATTAATTCAAGTTCAGCCAATACCCACAGTGTTTGCAAATAATTTCAAATCCCTGCGAACTTTTCTGCAAAATCTATCTGACTGTCGTAATCGCTGCAGCTCTCTGTACAAAAACAATCCAATTCAGCCAAAGTCAAAAGCCTCAATCTTTACAAACAAAAGTCCCTGTGAGGCTGAAGTCACGTTGAACACCGAGATGGGAAGTGAATGTCATCAAAAACAGAATTACCTTGCAAAGCGCTTTTAACTCGATGCAAAATGTGTGTATGGCAGCGCTGTAATCCATCCATCCATTCATCCATCTTGGTCGCCATGGCAAGAAGCTAAGCAGAGTGTTCCTGTCCTTCGCCACTTCCTTCAGCGCTTCCTGGGAGACGCGGAGGCGTTCCCAGCCCAGATGAGATATGTAGTCCGTCCGGCGTGTTCTGAGTCCACCTTGTAATCTCCTTCTTTTGGGTTGGTTGTTCCCTTGATCTCATTCTTTTCGTCCATTACTCAAAGGTCTTGACCGCAGGTGAGGACTGGAATGTAGATCGACTGTTAAATCAGGAGTTCCTCACAATCCAGTAACTCACCTGCGTTCCCGCTGATGCAGCACCGATCTGCCTATTGATCTCACACTCGAGATCACTTTCCCAGGCAGAGTGCCACGGCTTCAGATTTTGAGGTGTTGACTCTCATCTCCGCAGCGTCACACTCCACTGGAAACTGCCTGCGCTCTTAAGATCACAGTCTGATGAATTCATCAGAGCAACATGAAGCTCTGCAGTCATTTGTGGAAAAACTGTCAAAGAAGAAGTGATGTCGTGCTGAGCCAGGAAACTTAGTCTTTACAAGGTGTGACTGAATATCCATGGAGGGGGACTGTTAATGTGCTTTGTGGGATTTTGAAGTTCCCTTTACTATAAAGATTAAAAATAAAAAAGTCCTAAAGTCACAAAGGTTGTTTTTTCCACAAAGCTCGCTAATGAGCTGCTTACAAGCTGTGGCGTGACACCGCAGCGAGAAAGCGGTTTGTTTGCTTCTTGTGGGTCTACACCCGTTGCTATGGTGGAAACGGTATCCACGCAACTTGTTTCCCAGTGTTACGTCACATTACATTAACTCATTTGGCAAATGCTTTTAACCGAAGCAACAACAGATAGAGAGGGACGCCCCCCTTGTTCCACCATCGGGGAACCACGGACGAGAACGGTCTGGACTGCGAGCGCCTTGTGTGTGCGCGGGCGGCGATGCCAGGCGACGTTCTCTTGGAGAAGCCAAGTGGCCGAGAAGGAGCGTAAGCCTGTATGATCGAATTCAGGTAGACGGTGCAGACCTAGGGTCAGTGACTTCAGTTTGATTTTTACGCCAGTGTCGGTTGATGAGCTACTGAAGCTTGTTCAGCTCTGCGGCTAGCTAACAGCCCAGGCTATCAGTTACTGGATGCCCATGTTCAGGCCCATTCCTTAGGCTGAACATTTACATTCACTGGATCTTATTACTCTTCATAATGAAAAAGTTCTTTTACAGCTGACTTTCTGTGTTTTATATCTACTGCAGTTTGTTCCAGCATAAGAAACAAAACAGAAAAAACATCACAATATTTCAGCTAACTTTTATTTAAAAGTGTCATGTTGGGCCACAGTCAAAAACCTGTTCATTAGCTACTGTAAGCACTGTCCGGTTCTTACCTGTAACCCCAAGACATTTCTGGAAAAGCATCAGCTCTGTAGCCCGGAGCATTACTCAGCCGCTTCCACTCGATTCTTTTTATTTAATAAAAGTGTCTGTGTGAGCCACAGCGAGCCCACTTATTTCAGAGAAATTTATGCACACTGCTTTCCAGTAAAAAGTCTTTCAAAGCGCCACACAAAAGCATATCCAGGAGAGACACACACACACACACACACACACACACACACACACACACACTGCGCTATGACAGCAGTTGTCCATGCTGGCCTGTTTCTGAGTTAATGGCTAATTAATGCTCTGGTAGAGCCGGCTCCCAGGGGAGCGCTGGAGAGACACCCACTGACTTTGACTGCCAAAGGTCAGAGATGCTCTCTTACCCACTTTCTCTTTTTCCACTCGTCTTTCTTCCTCTCTCCTCCCCTCCCTCCATCTCCTCTTTTTCCCGCTCTCTCCCCTCCTCCGTCCTCATTGCCCCCCCTGGTTCGTCTCATGTCATTTTCCCTCTCGTCGTGAACGCCTGTCAATAGTGTGACATCATTAATCTCAATTCCCCATCATTACCTTCCCTCCTCTCTCTCTCTCTCTCTCTCTCTCTCTCCCCTTAAGCTTACTTCTGCCTCACGGTCACGGATTTAGTGATCACAGAGTTGCTGCTTTCTCCATTACATAAATACCAGTGATTCGCCCTTGAGCTGAAGAAAACCTGCCCCAACTCCAGTGGCGTTTTCTCAGCGGCCAATCATAAAACACATAATAATTGGAGAGAAAGTCGACTCCACTCTGGGTTTGTTCCGAGGTACAATACAGTAGTTACCACTTTGTTCTGTGCAATCAGTCTCAACGGCTCGCACACGGATAGAGAGAGAGAGAGAGAGAGCACATCTGATGATGATGAAATATCCACAAAGTGTTTTAGTCAGTACAGAGGAGCTAACGACGGCCTGCGCTTGAAAGTGTGTTGATGCACTTTTTCTTTCCTCCACCAAAGCAGGGAGGGGTGGTACGTGCGGATTGGAGATGATTTCCATTTTTATAACTTGAAAGTGTTCAGAATTCAGGGCAGAGGTGGTTGGTGACGGATGTAATTTATACACTGACTCAATAGTTAAAGCAGCTCTTTTATGATGGGCACAGCTGATCACGTGCGGATGGAAACAGTGCACATATTCCAGTGTTACTGTGTAGTTTCTGTTGTCGGCTTTTCATGTTTGTTTACGTTTCAGAATCTTTGATATCAGTTATTTCCAAGTCGAATACATCGGAGCTTAAAATACTGCTGTGAATTGTGTCGGTAAGAAAATGATAAATAAGAAAACTTTTGGTACAAATGTTCACCTGGACTCGGGGATGAACTGATTTGATTTTTGGTGGTTAAAGGTCAAAGGTTAAAGGTCACGGTGACCTCATAAAATATGGTTTTGGCCTCGTGAACACAGTATACGCAGTTATGACAGTCTGAGTGGTGGCGGCGTGGAACTGCGACGTGGTGTCACTCGTAATGACAAACCCGGGAGGATTATCACTTCATTTTGCAGCTTTATGCAACTGAACTCTTTTAACATTTTTTTTTTTTGCGATCCAATCTGCAACTTCACAGTTTCGGTTCAGTCTCAGAGCTCTCATCAGCATCATTATCAGCGTCAGAGCAGACAGGAAAAACCCCAATAAACCCACTGTATGCTACCTGCTCAAAACCACACAGCAGGTTAGCAACATTAGCAACTAGCTGGTTTAGCGTTTAGCATCTAAAGCAGCTACAGAGCCAGATATTTCCCTCAGGATCTGACACACACCAAACCAGAGCGAACAGGTTCATGTGGCTCTGTGTCTGTCTGATGTGTTAATTGGCAAAAGTTCGCCAAAACGACTCTATAAAGTGATGATGATACTGTATATTCATGTTGTGATTACACTTTATTATGTAGCTTTAAAAAAATTCATTCAATGTTGGCACAAATAGTTGTGGCTTCCTACATTATAAATGTGATGGTAATTGTGGTAATTTTACCAGGATGTAATGCAGTTGCAGAGGTGAAAGCTCTTACTGCTTTCACATCCGTGTGCAGCTCGCGGCGAGTTAGACGCAGCCGTGTTCACACACATTCTGTCATCAGAGAACATGGCATGGAGCAGCACTTATAATGGGGTCATCATTTTCCTCCTCCATTAGAAGTCACCTAGTACTCCTGAGTCTGGTAGGAAGGGTGAATCTCACACGTTAATGTGCTGTCAGGATTATTAGATGAACGACCCTCCTAATCAGGCACTGGAAATTCTGAATGTCGCTCGACCGGGCCGTGTTGACACATGGCTGCTGTAGCTAACCGCCGCCGAGACATCTTAATTAAACCTGAACGTTAGCCTCGACCGGCGCGGGAGCCGGGGGACCTCGCACGGTCCTTCGAGGGTCGCCACTGGAAAATGTCGAACAGTTTAATTTTAAAAGTGTCTCGCTCCCTAGATGTTTGCTAAATCAATCTTTGATGTCACCTCCCAGCCACAGTGCAGACAGATAATCATATCTAACAGCAAAACTTTCATGAGGTTTCTTGGGACCAAAGTCGACTTAAGCTCAATTATCTTGGGAACCTAGACTTTAAAAAAGAAATGGTGGAACCTCTGGCCTTGATAACAACGTCCTTAAAGGCCCCATGTGAAGAATTTTAGTGATTTTATTGTTTGATTTAGATTTTCCTGCAGTGGTCAGGTGTGGTATCTGATGAGACCTGGGTAACAGTCCCCTCCACTCACAAATGTGTTTCGCTTATCGTCACTTCACGGTGACGTTTGTTTCATCTGCTGAAGAAGGGAAATGGCTCCGGAGAGTGATGATGTGTGACATCACAACTAGTCTGCGGCCAATCACGGTCCAGGATGCAACTTACATGTGTCTGACGTGAAAACTGGAAACCTGCAGCACACGGACACGGAGAATTGACTTTTCAGTGCAGGAACAGACGTTTTGTGTTTTTTAAACATCTGAAATGAAAAATATTTGCATCATCATAAATTCTGGATCTTCGTACGAAAAGGAGTCGACGTCATTTTAAGTTTTTTTTCTTGTGGAAGAAACCACACACCACACAGCTGCTTATAAATCAGATTTTTTAATCACCTTGTTTTCTCCTAAAAATGAACATGAACATGCGCATCACGTCGTCCGCTTCATCCTTTAGAGGTGCGTTTTTGGCTGTGAAAAGTAGTTGGGTGCTGGAAAAGGTCATAAAAAAAGGCATTAAAATGCACCATTCAGTCAGACTTTGGAATGATTTTTTGCTGTGAATGCTAATTTTTTTATTTCTGTTTTTCTCTTTTTTCCCCCCCTTTCCTTTTTTTTTCTTTTTCTCCCTCCCTCTTTTTGTTTTTGTTCTGTCTCTCCAGCTGGTGCTGTTCTCAGGGAAGCTCAACACCATCGCCAGCATTGTGACCATTTTCTTCCTGTTGGTGTATGCTGCTGTGGACTTGGCCTGCCTCGCTTTGGAATGGGCCTCTGCACCTAATTTCAGGTATACACACACACACACACACACACACACACACACACACACACCCTGCCATGTGACTTTGTGTAGCACTCTTTCCTCACTAAACTCCCTCCCTTGTTTATTTCCTACCTGTGCTGTTGTTTATGTATGCGTGTAAGGACATAGTTGTTTGCCAGCTGGATGCTGCCATGGCGACAGTGTACTAATTAAGACATAAAACTGGCCACTCCTTATAGCCCCATATTGGACAGGGACCGACAGTAAAACCATGAGTGCGAGTGTGTGTTTGTTTTCGTGTTTTTGTGTGGGCGCAGCCTGAACTGGATGTTCGAGTATCATTGTGTGGAGATGCTCACAGATTTAAATTTACAGTGTGTGTGTGTGTGTGTGTGTGTGTGTGTGTGTGTGTGTGTGTGTGTGTGTGTGTGTGTGTGTGTGCATCGGTGTGTAGTTTGTTCTCCTTGGACACTTGCAATGATCCTGATTTATAAAAGCTCCCTGAAGCCGTTCTTACACAACAGTAACAGAACACAGGTACAGAGTTCTGTGTTCGATTCACTCTGCAACACTTTTATGAGCTATTCCATATTTTCTGTGTGAAATGTCGACAGTGTCACACAGAAAATACGTTGTCGTCTGAAATCTGCACTATCTTTAATTTACAAAAGTACATCTCCAAATCCAATAAACCTGTATTGTTTTTTTTCTTTCTAAAGACGTACCGCCCATTGATTGAATTCCTCCACTGGCTGTGAAATACATTTCAAACATGATAACTGCTTTCTGTTTTTATTTGTTATGGAGGAGAGAAACTGTTTAAACGGCCCGCATCACTTTATTGTTATGACAGATTGCCTTCAGCGCTGCGGCTGCTGTTACACATCGCTCTGCAGTGATAGCTGAAAATGAGTCGTAAGACATGTGAGAACATTTGCACATTTCCACATCAAGGGCACATCGGTCAAGTCAGCAGCAAACGGTGTAAACATCCTGTTCGGCTGGAAACTAAAGAGGCCGAGAAGTTTCCTTTTTTTGATATCGATTCCCGGCACAGTGGGATTTATTGAACTGTTGCGCTGCTGAATATCTGGTCGGATGATGTAAGCGCATTAAACTGATAGTTCCATATTGGAGCCGCACGCTCCACTTGTAGTCTTGTCTTCCTCTAATATGAGGATTGAATACTTCACTTAGGGCGTTGACACACCTGACTCACCTGTAAGATGATGCTATTCGACAAGAGCCGCTTCCTTTACTTCATAGTGAATGTGAGCATTTACACTGAACAGCTATATACAGACACACATCTCACACAGAGATACTTCTGGCTCCAGTCCACTTGTCTCATTTCAGGGCAGGTCGCTAATGCAGTCATATATATAAAAGAAAACAATCACAGTGATGTTTTTCATCTGGGACTCACGACTCAGGCTTTTCTAGTGCTCATAAAACTGCAGTACAACTGTATGGTGAAAGTATTTCTATAGATTTAGGAGGAATGGAAACTATCCACCTGTTTTGTTTTTTAAATCAGTGGTTCTCGAACTGTGTCACGTCAAAGACCTTTAAACTGACGCACCTTAGACCGCAGACCCCCATCTGATGAGATTTACATATGGATGGAGTTATAGTGAGAACAAATTAGACAGTGCATTCAGGAAGTGTTCACACCTCACTTCAGTCTACACTCAATCCTCCATAATGACAAAGTGAAAACAGAATTTTAGAAATTTACTAAAAAGGAAAAACTGAAATATCATATTGACATAAGTATTCAGCCCCTTACATCTAGACAGGTGTGTGTCCAATCAGCTGAATTGACCACAGGTGGACTCCAATCAAGGGTTAGAAACTAAAATGATGAAGAGAAATGGGAGGAACCTGAGCTACATTTCAAGCGTCTGAATACTTCTGTCAATGTCAGTGTCCTAATACTCTGTTTTCACTCTGTCATTACTGGCTGTTGATTGTCGATTGATGAGGAAAAAATGAGTTTTGAAATTATTTTAGCAGCTGCAACATAACAAAATGTTAAAAAAAAGAGGGTCTGAACACTTTGTGAATCCACTGTATTTAATTTAAAGTTTAAACTTATTTTCTGTTGTCTGCTTCTAATCTGCTGTATATTTACATTTCAGAAGTAAACAGACAAATGGTTTAAAGAGCCTCAGTGAAACCTTGTGTCTGTGACAGCAGTTTGTAACATGTGGGTGTCATGTGACTGAATTTAGACATGATTATGAAAATGCTCAAGTGAGACACAGAAATCAAACTATGCTGTTTGTGTGACGAACAGTATTTCATGCTGTTTTGTTTGATCTACTGCGTTCACTTTTCATTGATCAGCTCCACAGTTTCCCACAAATAAGCTGCACTCGAAGGGGGCCGAACAATTAATCGAAATATTACCCAAATTTCAATATGGCCGAGTGCAATATCCAAATTGCTGGAGCTCCGGTTCGTTCATAAAGTTCAGATGTGTCAGAGTGAACCATTATAAATGAAGCATTGTGTTGCTAACAGAGATGCCCCGGCCTACAAATCACATTCTCCAGACGGGAGGGGAACAGACCGCAGCGAAAAATCACATCATCATCGTTTTTTTATATCAATATGCAAAAATGACCATTCCCACTAAAATCATGATTCATCGCAATATGTGTCAAAATAATCCTTTTTTGTTTTTGTTAACATATAGTTCAATGTCCCACCCACCAGTATATTGAGTGAATTTGCTGCCTGATTAGATTTTGACCCACTTTAACAATGCATAATGAAATTCAGCTGGTCTCTCTGAGCTGAGACTTTCTGTGGAAGCCGTAAGAAAAGCTTCTTCTCAAGTGTATTTTTCACCTCTGGGAAATAATAAATAGTTAATCCATCTGAATATGCAATTATTCACCTGCCGAAACTGTTACTTCTGCCCTCAGATTTGTGCATACACTGATTTTTGAGAATCTAACGCACCTAAAACCAAAAACATTATAATGAGATTTTTCTTTTTTGTTTGTTGCATTATCTCGGCTGTATTTCTGTATCATTTCACATTTGTATGAGTATTGAAATGCATCGGTCTCAGCCGCCACAAGAGTGCACTGTCAGCACCNCACCCCCCTGGCCAGGGGCCCAGGGGCCCCCGGAGCTGATAAGGCGGGCTTGTTGTCTGGCCAGCTGCCTGCTTTGGGCCTCCTCTCCTCTTCCCCTGAGCTGTTAATTCTCTTATTTCATTGTTGCTGTGTCACTGGGCAAATTTTAATGCCAGTTGTTTTTGTGTTTATTGGTTTTTCTGTTTGTTTGGGTTTTTTTTTTTTTTTTTTTTTTTTGGTTTTTTTTTTCCCCGGGCCTTTTTTTTTTTNGTTCTTTTTCGCCCGTGCTCTTTGCTTCTTTCACTTCGCTCTCTGTCTGGCTCTCTCCCACGTCTCTTTCCAGGCGAAAAGAATTAAAAGCCATTTAGCGCCGTCTCTCCCCCTGAGAACTGCTCTGTAATTAGCATAACTAATTTAGCAGAAATATTTCCCTTTCCCTTAAATTTGCTGTTGTGTAGGGGAGGGAGGGATTGAAATTATGATGTAGCGGAAAAGATGTCTGCTTGTTAAGAGTGTGTGTGTTTGTGTGAGTGTGTGTGTGTGTGTGTGTGTGTGTGTGTGTGTTTGCGCAGAGAGTATACAACAGGAGAGTGCAATGCAATTTAGAGACTGAGTGTGTGTGTGTGTGTGTGTGTGTGAGATCTAAGTCACGCTGGGTGATTTTTTTTTCTGTCTGTGTGTGTGTGTGTGCTTGGTTGTGAGTGTTTTCCTTGTTTGTAGTTTTATCTGTGTGTGTGTGTGTGTGTGTGTGTGTGAGAGAGGAGGCTTGTGTTGGCTGCAGCTTTATCAGCGGTGGCTCCAGCTGTGTGGAGTGTTCCTCAGGGGTTGCTGTGTATCCTGCTGCTGATGCTGCATGGGCACTGGCTACTTGAACTTGTGGCTTAAATACGCATGAACACACACACGCACACAAACACACACACACACACACACATACACACACACACATACATACACTCAGTATCACAGGGTCACTGGCCAGGATTCAGGACACAACTGAGTGCTCCACAGTGATGCCAGAGGATGTTTGTGGAAAGTGTGGAACTCAGTCACATCCAGGCGATGACCTTCAGTCAGACTGAGAGCAACAACAACAACAACAACAACAACAACTAATGGACACCTTAGACCGCAGACCCCCATCTGATGAGATTTACATATGGATGGAGTTATAGTGAGAACAAATTAGACAGTGCATTCAGGAAGTGTTCACACCTCACTTCAGTCTACACTCAATCCTCCATAATGACAAAGTGAAAACAGAATTTTAGAAATTTACTAAAAAGGACAAACTGAAATATCATATTGACATAAGTATTCAGCCCCTTACATCTAGACAGGTGTGTGTCCAATCAGCTGAATTGACCACAGGTGGACTCCAATCAAGGGTTAGAAACAAAAATGATGAAGAGAAATGGGAGGAACCTGAGCTACATTTCAAGCGTCTGAATACTTCTGTCAATGTCAGTGTCCTAATACTCTGTTTTCACTTTGTCATTACTGGCTGTTGATTGTTGATTGATGAGGAAAAAATGAGTTTTGAAATTATTTTAGCAGCTGCAACATAACAAAATGTTAAAAAAAGAGGGTCTGAACACTTTGTGAATCCACTGTATTTAATTTAAAGTTTAAACTTATTTTCTGTTGTCTGCTTCTAATCTGCTGTATATTTACATTTCAGAAGTAAACAGACAAATGGTTTAAAGAGCCTCAGTGAAACCTTGTGTCTGTGACAGCAGTTTGTAACATGTGGGTGTCATGTGACTGAATTTAGACATGATTATGAAAATGCTCAAGTGANAAAAAAAGAGGGTCTGAACACTTTGTGAATCCACTGTATTTAATTTAAAGTTTAAACTTATTTTCTGTTGTCTGCTTCTAATCTGCTGTATATTTACATTTCAGAAGTAAACAGACAAATGGTTTAAAGAGCCT